ATCTGTAGAAACAAAGTGATTCATAGGAAATACTGTGCGCAGACTCACACTGAATCGCTTCTCCTTCATTGCAGCCACTTCGGTCCATTCATCAGTAAGAGGGTTGTATTTCTCAACTGAGCTAAGTTGGTTGGATGACTCATCTCTTCCACCTGCTGCATACAAGTGCCCATCGAGCACTGCAGATCCTAGATATTTCGACATGTTGACATCGGACGAACAAACTCCCATCTTCCCGTACGAGGATCAAATCTGAAAGTTGGATGATACAGGTAAAGTCATTCACCACACATATGATATGCCAGTCTTTTTGCATCTAAGTATGACAAGATAAAAGACAGGATTCCAGGTCGCCACTCGCCCAGGCCAACCAAGCCTTCTACCCTCCGGGGACGGTAAATTGGTACCAGATTCGTCTGGGAGGATAAAACACTGACTTGTACATCGGCTGGCCCCGCAAGTCATTGTATAGGCCACATCGCATTCAATAAGCCACTACGATTCTGAATGGAAGTAGATTGATTATCCCACAAAGGGATTGATTGAACGGCGAAGACTTCATCCTTTTTATCCTTTACTCACGAGTGACCGCTACAAGCCCTCCCTTGAGCATGACAATTTTCATACAACTATGATTCTATTGCGAAAATTTGATGAGAAAAAAAATCAAAGTGCCAAAATGAGCACCAATTTACCTTTCCACAGTGTTCAGACTTGATTTTCCATCGTGTCCTCCAATGGCATATAAATATCCGTCAAGCACCGACACAGAATGGGCGAATCGTGGTGTGCCCATGGGTGCAACACGAACCCACTCTTTTTGTTGAGGATCATATCTGCAGTGAAGCTTCGTAACAGGTTCTTTTTCGGAACAAGTTTGTTCCAATGAAAAGCTATTCCGATCTACGACATATTACCAATACAATATATTAATACAATATATAATACCTCCATCCATAGATGTTCCTCTGCATTACCTCAACTTGTTGCCATTCACCAAGCAAAGGGTATGCCTTGCTTTCAGAAGCCTGGTTCCGTGCAGAGAAGAGCAGCCTTATTTTTTGGGGCTTTACAAAACCGTTTTTTAACACAGAAGATGATCACTGCGGATTGAGGTGACAGGTTGGTTTACAGACCAAGTCAGGGTCACACGAAGACTGTGGTGTACTTTCCCAGCTAAGCAGGATTTCGAGCAGTGTCATTTTCAAAAGGAGTAACCCTGAGCCGTGGTGGAACAACTGCTAGGTTGTGAGACCAAATAGTAGAAATTTTCATCACCCTTCGCAGTTAATTATAATGTGGCTTGCTGGCTACCACAGCGCTGACAGGGAGAAATTCACGCGGTTAACAACACCGCATACACGTATCACCGCCTTAGATTAATGGGACTGCAGGCCGGTTCTGTCCTTACTAGAGAATCTAGCCAAGCGCTTCAGGGAAAGAATCTTGAGACACCTCCTCCATATCCAGTTACAACGTTGTTCAACCAGTCCGTATGGCACGAGCGCGAGAGAAATTCCAAACAGTACCCATCTGAGCTCCTTCTTGAGTATCGCTCAATACACGAGAAAACTTCAAATAATTTTCAACAATTCCCTAAGGTAGTGGATTTCTGTCATTCGCGCTCTCGGAACAGTCGAGGGTGAGGATAGATGGCGAGCTACTTCGTACAGACTGGTTTTGATCAAGGGCCGCAGTAGGTGTAAATCCAAGGCAGACGACTTCCCTGGAGGTCTGTCTGCGAGATAGAAGTAACTTGTCTCCGAGATAGAAGTCACAAAAAGGTCGGGCCATTCTAACGCCGTGCTATGGAAGGTAGTATCACGAATAACTCAGAGCAAATGCTGCGTGTGACTCCAACCACGCCGTGTTGGTGAGATTCATTTAGCGAAGTGTGACGAAAATGAGGAAATTCTTCCATCGCGAGGGACAGTAAAGCAACTGCGGGCACACTGTCCACAGACCACATAAGTATATCTCAAAATAGCTGCAGACAGATCTGATTAAACATTCAAAGAAATGTCACGGAATTTGGGACAACTCAACATAAACCAACAACCAAAAGCAGCTCGAATATTTCTTTACCGTTCCACAGTGTCCAGAGCCCTGCCGCTGTCGTCACGACCGCCTGATGCATAAAGAAAGCCGTTCAGCACAGTCACACCAACACTGCTACGACATGTGCGCATTGGCACGATGTCACTCGACCATTCATTAGCAACGGGATCAAATCTAAAATTTCCTTTTAAGATACGTCGAGATTTTTCTATGTTTATCTCTAAAGAGAACCCATCACCATAAACAAAGCCATCCGAGTATCAGACTGGGAGAAACCTCAAAGTACTTTCCAAATTCAACAATTCTTTTTATGCTTTTCTGTTTATTCCTCACAGATGACAGTGGCAAAAATTAATGTCACTTAAAAGCGCACTGTTCCAACCCTTATGATGCATTAGTCCGCTTTTTAGCAACGAAGGCCTTAATTCCTGAAAACGTTTGCCTAGCGAGCAGCCTATTGCTCAGTTTCTTTATGAACAGATGGTGCCTTCAAAGAAAGAAATTCTTAAAGACTTAGATGGACCTCTTGGCTAGAATGATTCAGGCATGCAATCACTGGGGGGCAAAGTTCAGATTGAAAAGCATTCAGCAGGCTCGCTTACCACGTCCGCCTTCACGTGGCCTGAAAGCGTGGCGCGCCACAGGTGTCGGTGCCAAGTCACCCTAAATCACCAAAATCGATGAAACCCACATACGGAGGTTAGGCAGCGTTCAGACTCAAGCGCTGTACAGCCGCAACAGCTACGCTTTAAAGCGTGTTGCTGCGCCGTGCTGCCGCGCAGTAACGCGTGTTCAAGACACATGGTACGATCACACATAGTTTGGTGTGCGTGACTATCAGCCCCCTCCCCCCAGCTGTCGAAGCGTAGCGGTTTCGCTGTCGGAACATGCGCAGGAATGGAGATCCAGGACAATGGAACGTGCTAATTCCTCCATGCTCCGCCTAAAATGCATCTTGCGGACTCCCGATCCGTTTATAGTCGTCCGCGCGGCACGTGTAGCTCCTGGCATTTTGACAAGTCGTGCTATTGCACTTTGGAATACAATTAGATCGCTACCTGATCGTTCGAGGTGTTCGTACTGCAAAATTCGAATCGATGATGACGAGGGCTAGAACTCAAGAGCAACTGTGCTTCTTTCACAATCGCTCTCAGAGGCCGCGCATTCCCATAAAACAAACACAAGCATGGAGGAATTAGCGTGTTCCACGGTCCTGTATCTCCATTCCTGCGCATGTTAGGACGGGGAAACCGCTACGCTTCGACAGCTGGGGGGGGGGGGGGGGCTGATAGTCACGCACACCCAAACTATGTGTGATCGTACCATGTGTCTTGAAAGCGCACTAGCGGCGCTTCAACGCGTTGAAGCGGCGCTTTAACGCGCTATAATTGCATATAATTGCAAGCGCGCGCGGCACTGTTGAATTACACCTACCCCTAATACTCGAGAATTTTTTTCGCTGAAACTTTGACTACAGGGGTAATCCGAAGCCCTGGATTACAGGGGTAAGCGAAGCCCTGATCACGAACAGGACATTACTTTTTGGCGCTGGCGTCATCTGGCGCCATAAGGCACCAGGCTGTCGCTACCATCTTTCTCACCGGAAACTGATGAAACCTTGCACGGGGTTCACTGACATTCTGATCACGGATATCGCATTGATTTTTGACATTCGGCGCAACACGGTTTCCGCCCGTACAAACAAATTTGCGTAGTAGGGGTTGTTTAGATGCCTTGAATTACGGATATTGCACTTATTTTTCGACAGCAGCGCTACTGAACGCTCTGCTAGGGCTGAACTTGGGAGAAAGAGTGGTTCCTATCATGAGAGTCTCAGCCTTAGCAGAGCGCAAATGATCGTAGTATCCCCTCCATTAACGAAAGTGCCAGGAGTAAAAGTCATCCGTGACCAGGATGTCAAATCAATCCCATAAGGGTTTTCTTCAATTTTGATGATTTAGGCGACTTGGTGCGGGTGCCAGGCGGTTTCGGGGAAAGCGGATATGATATTCATGTTTACGAGGTCACTGGGATAGGAATAGTAGAAAACTGCTGAGCGCGCTCGTAGCTGTTGAGTGTTGAAGCGCCTAGATGGGCTCTAACACGCAACAATGCGTGTAGCAGCGTTTGAATGCCGCGGCTAGAGCTTGTTCCAGGTCTTTTTTAAAAATTTTCTTCTGCTGCTCTACCTCAAGAACGTATTCAAGGTAGAGGTATGACAATTGACCATCCTCAGAGCTTAGGAAACGCTCAGACAATATGATCGCTTTGGGGCAATATCTCCCATAGTCGCCAAGTATGTAACTTCTTTCACTATTTCTTGAGATCAAAGGTGAGAGCAGTCGTAAAGGCAGTTCGCACTACACACCTGACTGTACCCATACCAAGCATTTCCACTGGCTTCTACCATGTACATAAAAATGAATCAGGTCTGTCCAACAACAATCAAGCTGGTCAAATAGTCACTGCCAAGAAATAATTTTTGCATAGTTCTGTCACGCAGTGAATACCGAACCGTAATATTACACAATTTTGTCTCTAGTTATTCGTAAAAAAGGTTAGAATTCGCTTAATACCTCTCAGCACTATTCACAGGCTTTCCGTCACTCAAGCCGCCAACAACGTAAAGCAAATCGTCGAGAGCAGCAACGCCGGCATATCCTCTATAAAAGGAAGTTGTTATTGGAAAGCACACTCACTATTTTATGACCTACCTTGTAATGCTCATGGAGGGGATTCGACGCCACACTGGAAATTTCTCCCCAGGATCGAAGTATTCTCCGGAAGCGTGGCCGTATCCTCCCACTGAAAAGTAACTCAACAGGGAAAAGACAATGCATCTCAATATTCTGTAGTGCTGAGGGACCATTGGATACAAATGATGCACACCAAAAACAGACTGCGTAGTGATAAGGTATTATTGAGGAGGTACCTCACCATTTCTCAACACTCCATACAGGTATCTCTAGTTCAGCCCTGGTCTTTTCATTTTGGAGTAATCTCTCCTTTCCACTTCCACATAGAACCAGCGCTTGCCCGCTCTATGGTGGGGCCTGCTGTTCTTATTTTGTGACGCCACTTCTCCCGACTGGATGCCTAATGGATGCCAACTACTTTCAAGTACGCAATGCAACGTGTACATCCGGTGCTGCTTGGATCGTCACCTGGGCCACTTTTCGAGCACCTCGAGCTTGAGATTTGTCCTACGGACGGTGTCAGAATTCTCGCGCAATACATGACCATACCACCGGAGGCATTTTTTTGACCACGGGAACTAGAAAGAGTCTCTTGCGTATGTCGTCCATCGCTAGCGCGATTCATGTACATGATGCCGGCCGTCTTAGCGCAACATTTTCATGAAAGCCGGTTTCAACTTATTTTGGCGTGGCCCAATATTCAGCACCGTATGTTGCGACATGAACGACGGTTCTACAGACTTTGACTTGAACCGCTCTGGTATCGTTTTGACTGATACCCAAAATTCAAGTCAAATTCAGAGAACGCCAGTCTGACAAGAGAAGGATACCAACTCGTCATGGCCATTCAGTATGGGATGTATACTCCTAAAAGCATCTTTGGACGCTGATATCAGATCTGACTTCCAAATCTGCTAAACGATTCTAGGGGAGAAGTTATGGACCTTCTTTGTTGGTGTGCTTAACTATTGCGGTGTGTCCCTGCCCACAATTTGCGGTTGTGATCCACTCGTGAAACCGCGTGCTTCGATGGCGCGCAGGTAGGAGAGTGGGCTCATAGCAATGCGACGACGGTTCCAATCATTGATGCATTTGCTCGTATCGTTAGTTTTGCTTTTTATTGGAACATATGCCAAACACTCGAAAAGCAGTTCTAAGAACAAGTTCGACCACCGTGGCCCCTCTCTGCTTCTTATTGAGCCCTCTGAACAAATTTTGGAAAGAATTTCATTCCAACTTCACATTGAAATTGATAGCGTTGATGTGGCGGCCTTATTTCGGGCGTATATTGCTGTGCGAAACATTAAGCCCGCACATAACCTCGTCATCCGGGCAGTTGATTAGGGCGGTCGTCAACGGGCCGCAGCGCGTGCCAGGAACTATTTGCTTTTCCAGGCTAATTTAGTCATTTTTTCCACCTTGTGAAGATAAGGAGCTGCTAATCTGGGAAAAAGTAGCCAAAACAGTGAAAAGTTGGAAAAAATGACTAAATTAGCCTGGAAAAAGCAAATAGTTCCTGGCACGCGCTGCGGCCCGTTGACGACCGCCCTAATCAACTGCCCGGATGACGAGGGTATATGTTGCAAAAGGAAGTTAAACCTCAACAACTATGGCAAGACTTCGCCATCACCGATGCATCATTGCATCGAAGTCACGTGATTCAGTGGTGGCTGATCGCCACCCATGAACTCCAGTAAAAGCGCAGGTTTCAAGAATCAACAGTTTTTGGTGTAACACCCACCTACCCATAAGCTTTTCATTGCTCATAGTTATTCTTTTAGCTGTATTTTATAGGAAATCCTTCAACAGGAAGAGGACCTGATGCAA